GGGGGGCACCACTGCACTCCAGCCATGGGGACAGAGTGAGACTCCATCTCAAAAAAAGCAAATTTACCTTCTTAAATACTGCATCATGACCGGCGCGGTGACTCATGCCGGTAATCCCCCTTTGGGAGGCGAGGCGGAGTGTGGATCACTGAGGTCAGGAGTTCAAGACCAGCCTTAGCCATGGGTAAACCTGTCTCTACTAAAATACAACAACATAGGGCTGGGCGCGTGGTGGCTGCGACTATAATTCCCAGCAACTCAGGGAATGCTCTTGAACCTGTGGAGGCGGAGTTGACCAGGGGCTGAGATTGGCGCCATTGCACTCCAGCCCATAGGGACAGGCCAAGATTCCCAGTCTAAAAAATCTGTAGTCCCAGCTACTCGGGAGGCTGAGGCAGGAGAATGGCGTAAACCCGGGAGGCGGAGCTTGCAGTGAGCCGAGATCCGGCCACTGCACTCCAGCCTGGGCGACAGAGCGAGACTCCATCTCAAAAAAAGAATTTACCTTCTTTAAACTTCCAGGAATTATAGTGGCTGTAGGCTGTAGTCTAGCTGGAAAAACACTGAGGTAGAAGTCAGTAGACCTGGGAGACTCTTTTGGCTCAGTCACTAACAACTTATGTGGCCTTGGGAAAGAAAGAAGCTGCAGCAACCACGCCTGTAATCCCAGCACTTTGGGAGGCCGAGGTGGGAGGATTGCTTGAGCCCAGGAGTTCGAAGGAAACCTGGACAACAAAGCAAGACCCCATCTCTACAAAAAAAATTCCAAAAATGATCCAAGTCTGGTAGTCCTAGCTACTCGGGAGGCTGAAGTGGGAGGATCACCTGAGCCCTGGAGGTCAAGACTGCAGTGAGCCAGTATCACACCACTGCACTCCAGCCTGGGTTTCAAAGTGAGACACTGTCTCAAAAGAGGAAAAAAAAAAAAGCTGGAGCTGTTGTTTTCTCATTTGTAAATGGGGGATGACATTATCTCCTTCACAGAGTTACTGTGAGGATGGAAATACAATTTTTTAATTTTTTTCTTTTCTTTTGGAAATACAATTAGATAGGCACAGTGGCCGGGCACAGTGGCTCACGACTGTAATCCCAGCACTTTGGGAGGCCTAGGCCGGTGGATCACCTGAGGTCAGGAGTTGAAGACCAGCCTGGACAACATGGTGAAGCCACTAAAACTACAAAAGTTAGCCTGGTGTGGTGGCGTGCACCTGTAATCCCAGCTACTGGGGAGGCTGAGGCAGAAGAATTGCTTGAATCTGAGAGGTGGAGGTTGTAGTGAGCCGAGATCGTGCCACGGCATTCCAGGCTAGGCGACAGAGTGAGACTTCATCTCAAAAAAACCAAAAAATTAGATAGGCATAATGCACAAGAGGATGTCAGATGACACCTGTGCCACCACTTAGTACCACTTTGAGCCGGGACAGATGACTTAGGACTCTGTGCCTCAGTTTTTCCATCTGTCAAATAGGGACGACATGAGGAGCTACTCCTAAGATGATGGTCAAGGTTAAATAATGTAATACACGAAAGTGCCTAGACCAGCACCTGTCGTATTTTGAAAACTCTTCCCCTTTTAGCTGTTGTTGTTGGTATTATTATTTTGCTAACTAGAGTGATTTCTAGCCTTCGAAAAGAGGTTCAGAAGTTTGTGAACAAGACCATTATTCCTTACCAACTAATTTGTAACCCCACTTTCTTTTTGATTGTTGTTAAGACAGAGTCTTACTCTGCCTTCCGGGCTCAAGCAATTCTCCTGCCTCAGCCTCCCGAGTAGCTGGGATTATGGGCGCCCACCACCACTCCCAGCTAATTTTTGTATTTTTGGTAGAGACGGGGTTTCACCACGTTGGCCAGGCTGGTCTTGAACTCCTGACCTCAGATGATCCTCCCACCTCAACCTCCCAAAGTGCTGGGATTACAGGGGTGCACCACAGCGCCCAGCCCGTAACCCCACTTTCTTTTTACCTACTTTGATTATGGAACTTGGCACGATGCCCAGATTGCCATAATACAAATTATCCTCCCGAGTTATAACTGCCAGTTCGTTTTCATCTAGGAAAAACAAAACAAGACCAAATGAAAATTGAAATGCTAGTCATTTCTGTGGACCAAAAGATAAGTATGGCTGGGTGCAATGGCTCACGCCTATAATTCTAGCACTTTGCCAGGCCGAGGGGGTGGATCACTTGAGGCCCAAAGTTCGAGATCAGCCTGGCCAACAACATGGTGAATCCTCCTCTCTACTAAAAATACAAAAATGAGCCGGGCACGGTGGTGTGTGCCTGTAGTCCCAGCTACTCAGGAGGCTGAGGCAGGAGAATCACTTAACCTAATCCCAGCTACTGTAGAAGGCTGAGGGAAGGCAAGAATCGCTGTGGAACCCGGCAGTGGAAGGTTGCCACGTGGCAGATCTGGCCCGACGCCATTGCGACTGTCCAGCCTGGGCAACAGAGGTGAGACTCCAAAAAAAAAAAAAAAAAAACCTTCAAACTGTTTATTTTTTCATATTGCTTGGCTTTTCCACATGAACTTCTGTGATTATAAACCAGAAATAGCTGGTCATATTGTGAGTTTTTCGTTTTTTCTTTTTTCTATTTTCTTTGCCTTTTTTTTTTTTTTTTCTTGAGACCAGAGGTTTCGAATCTTGTTGCCCAGGCTGGGAGTACATGGTACGATCTCTGCTCAGGTGTAATACCTGCCTCCCGCGCGGTTAAGTTTCTCCTGCCCCTCAGCCTTCCGAGTAGCTGGG